TATATATATTGATGATTGACAAGCCTGGCTTCTACTCACAGGTTGCCATTGTGTTTTAGTAGTACCCAGTAGACTTTTGAGTACCCTCTGCAAATGCCTGGTCCAGTTTGGCTTGCTTGTTGCCATCCAGCTTTAGGCCAAAGTGAATGTGAGGAAAATGTGCCCACTGCAAAACCAATGTTGTTATTTACCCTCTAATTACACTATAATGTATTCATAATTTGGTTGATTAAATTAGTTTCTTCTCTTGCTCTAACTGTCATCATTTTAAACGAAAGAGGTTGAAGATATCATTTTGAGGCATAGACAAAATCCTCCACTTGGTCTAATCTGTACCTAGGGTAATAGCATTATCATAGTCAAACTACCGGTATGCATGCTGCCTTCGACCCTATTTACACTGTTGGAGGTACATGGTTGGACATAAACAGCAAGCAATACATAGGCTCTATGCACCTATAATCTCTCTCTTTTGGCTAGAGGGAAGAAGGAATGTATCATGAACAGCCCAATTTCTGAAACACACATGGTTGTACCCACAACCCACCCCCCCCCGAAACAAAAAAGAGAAAGAAAAAAGGAACATTTGAAGGATATGAAAGAAATGGATACGTAGTAAAGAAAATACATTAATTTGCTAGATAAGCACACTCGGAGTAATTAGGGAGAGAATCATTGAATAATTAGGAAACTTGGAGTAAATTCAACAAGACATAGTATATAACACTGGAGCATTTAGTCTAATAATAAGACCTAGCTAATAAATGCATGTATTCCTTATACAAAAGCTAGATTTGAATCATCTCTCCCCAAAAATCAAACAAAAAAAAAAAAACTATACATACACAGCCAATGACCTTAATAATGACCATGACAGTCTTTAGCCAGTTAATATTTAATAATAAAGGTAAAAATGTGAAAAAAAAAAAACAATTATGATCATAAATTTTGACTTGCATGAAAATTAACCGATTAGGTTGCCAATGGCAACTGTGCCTATACATATCACTTAGGCCTTCTAATAACCCTGTTAATTTCTGAGGCTAACTTAAACTAGTAGGCTCAGACACTTGAAGCAGGTGGAATTGGATGCCGCTAGGGAGGTAATTCAATCGAGTCAGGTTCAATGATCTTTATTTCATTTCTTTAAAGGCACAAGGAAGGAAAGCAGGCAGCGCCACAACGTTTTACTAAAACAAACTCCATAATTAAAAGGTCTTATCACTCATGTGGTGAGATTCAATGTGCATTCTTAAACCTGTGGTGATGAGCGAGAAGCTTGTCCTTTTCAGTCGTCTGATAGTGATTAACGACCAAGGACCAAGTACTCTACAAGCATGAGCTAATTGTGAAAGATTTGTTTTAATCATTTACCTAATCAGTTCTCCCTATCATAGGTTGGTAACTGAGCCATCTTTCATAACAAAATCTTGCAGATGTATTAGTTCTGTAATTTTTCTTTCTTCTCAGAGGAAAAACCATATATTCTTAAATGATCTTTGAATGTATAGAATATTCTCCTTCTCTAACGGATCTATTATATATGTATATATACTATATGCATCCATAAAAAAATTTAGATCTTAATTTCTGTATATATACTTATAACCATTTCCAAGAGCTGTCACCTTATAGAATTAAACCATTTATTGAGACTTTACACCTTGGAAGAGTATGTGTATGAAACATAGATGTTGATTTATTTTGGGAAATCATCCATTTGAAAATATCCATGTTTGCAGAGGCTTTATCTTGCAATTACTAGACCCTATCATATCTTTAAAATATTGCATATGTAAGAGTTTGACAGCCTTTTCTACTGTGAAATATCGATTATTGCTTAAGAGTTCTGACACTCTAGCGTTTGATGATATTGCCAAAAATGTTTCACTGCAGGTTGCATAATTGGGTTTCATTTACATCATTATTTACCTATGTCTTCAACCATTTAATAGAGAAGTAGGATAATTAATTACAAATTCACGAAATGACTAGCCTAACATATTAAAAAACCACTCTCTGACCATATTTCCCATATTTCCTAATTTTACAACCTCATGTATCTATATGTGTATATATATATATATATATATATATATATATATATATGTCCAACTTTGATTTTTCATTTTGTAAATCACTTTTGGCATTATAAATAGTTAACAGTCTTGTACCAAGAAACAAAAAAGTAAACATTTATATATATATATATATATTGAAATGTATTGTAATTTAAAATATCTTAATTTTTCTTAAAAATGTATGTTATATAAGTCCAATGATAGCCTTTGATTTGATATAAAGGGAACACAATGAGTTATCTTGGGTTTTAGGAGTAGCTAATGTTATATGATTTATTTATGATATTATGCATGCATTATAATTATTATAAAAGATTCTAGGATAATGTATTATTGTATCACAAAATTATTGGCTTTTCTATATGCGTAGATAAATCAGCTAGAAAAAACAAACAAAAAAGTGATGAATACCCTTAATAGCAAAACCATGAGTTCGCTGAATGTTTGTGGCTTAACAACACAAGCCTTGAATTAATGGTAGTTGGATAAACCATTGCATATGGAACTACATTGAAATGGGGAGAAATGTAGAGCCTACGACCTACCTATAAAAATCGAAAGTATTTCTTATAATGTGGTTATGATTAATTATTGCATGGGATAAGCTGTGGGTATATATTCTATCTCTAAATTTGCAGACCTAGTAAACTTACATTTTTTGCTGCCGTGCTGAAAGCTTCCCTGTGGCTGATGTCTGGATTACTAGCCTTGATCCTTTGGATTTCCTCCCTAAAATGTAAGAGCCCAGAAAAGGAAAGTGAGAGAGAGAGAGAGAGAGAGAGAGAGAGAGAGAGAGAGAGAGAGAGAGAGAGAGAGAGAGAGAGAGAGAGAGAGAGAGAGAGAGAGAGAGAAAAGTCATATATGATCCATATTTAAGTAATCATGAGATTTTGTTAAACTTACTTAATGAACCTGTTATATGCAGAAGGAACACGTTGTCTCTTCTCAGGGGCTGCATTATGGATCATATAGTTCATCAAACATCTAATAAGCAAGCTTAATCAAACAAAATACTAGATTTAGATCATCTATTCTCATCAACAGTCTATTAATTAAGGCTTCATATCTTTTCTATTGAGTTGAGAATAATAGCAGATTGCTTTGAATCTTAGGGACACCGGGACTGATGATCGTGTAATCCACACATACAATCCAAACAAGCAAGGTCGTAAGATTCCAAATGTCAATCTGTCTGGTGGTCCCGTTGCTCTTCAGTGTCAATTCTTTCTAATCAATCATATTTGTGTGATCTTATAAATGTGCTAAACCATAAAATCCGAAATGGTAGCGAGTTTCCCTCTTCTTCAAACTCTGTAGACTGTTTCTTATTCCGAAAGGGTAGCAAATTTTTCCGGTGGCATAGGCAATCAACATTTTTGGCCTGTGAAATCTTTGACAGAATAGGCCAGTATAGGCTTGCAGCCACGGTTCTCAGTAATGGTCTATTTACATGCAAGCAACCAGAAAGGCAAATGGCAATTTGCTTCGAATTCCTTCTGATAAAGAAATAACAGACTGCAATATATATGATCGTTTAACGTATGCTCAAGGGCAAACTTCCTCTGGTTTAGGGTGGTGTAGGGTACTGTTAATAATTAATGTGGAGTAAGATTTGTTATGCAAGGTCACCATCTTGGAGGGCGCGTGATTTGAGAGGAGAGATCAGATGAGTTGCTTTGCTTAAGGTGTTTCTGAAGGCGAAAGCTCATAAAGTGGACCTATTGACAGTAAGGTGATTGATTCTACTTGATTATTCACTATTGCCAGTTGTGTGGGAGACACGTTTCTGTTCAGAGTTTTCTATCATAAACATAGCCTAAGTAGTTGGTTCTGCATTTAACACTTTGGTATCAGTTATGCATAATAACATTTACTGAAGGGTACCTTAATGATGTATTTGAATGCAACATGTTTATATGCTTTAACACATACAGTATATATTTCTCTGCGAGAGAGAAAGAGAGACTAACGGCGAATAGGAGGCATTCTTGGAGCTTCATGCTCTGCAGAATCAAATGCAGAAAACTTGTTGCATTTGGAAGAAGACCCACATTCCTTATTTGAATGATCCTGATCAGTGTTTATCTGCTGCTTCTGCAACCCCTCTCAAAACAAAACAAAGAAGTAAATCATCCAATCACAATCCCTTTCTTTGGCCCACAAAGCCTTTAAGTAGCATTTTTTAAGAAGCTAAAGTTTGGCCTGGATTGAAGTAGCACATACAAAGACCAAGGTACACATTTAGGAAAAAGGCCCTATAAAAGAAACCAAAAGGTTAGAGAAATAAGTAGAGGAAAGAGGTCAAATCAACTGAAACAACAATAATTGTTTCATATTGTTTTTTGAAAACACCAGAGTATCTTATCAGCTGAAAGGGTTAGGAACCCATAAAATAATATGCTTTGGAATCTTTGGTCACTGAAAAAAATGTATCTTTCTTGTCTTAAATACAACGATTCTTTAATAAATTATTCTTGTATTGAATTTATTATTCAGAAAGTCCCAGAAAAATGGGGGCCAAAAGAATCTGAAAAATACCTGAGCATCTTGAATGGGAACTGTTTGAAGTGAAGTTCCCATATTTACGGACAGCAGATTGGCACAATGCCCACATCTAACAGTCACGATGTTGAACAAACTGGTGCATGGAACACTGACCTGCAAATATTACCATTTTGGAAAGTTATCAATGCTATAACCTGCAATGTCTCAAGCTTTTGAGTTCTCTCTGCAGCCAGCCAACCATCCCCTATCTTTCTCTTTTGGTCATAGAAAGAGTTGAGGCAGATGAGATTTGATAATCACAAAATTCATGAATGTTGCTTCATTCAATAGCAAACCCTAGAGGAAATTAAAGAAACATTTTCCTTTTCTAATCCCCAGATCTGCCATTTTCAGAATATCCAAACACTAAAGTTTCATTATGCAGAAGCTTGAACTCTCCCACCAAAACAATTTTGAAAGAAGGGGAAGGAAAAGATCAAGAGAGCGAGAGAAGATTCATGAAGTAATGTTTTCCGCGAAAAGCTATATGAATCTCTTTCCTTTTATAATGGGAAGAATCGAGGGAGTTAGAAATGATAGCAGGTGCCAAAACATATCCGACCTCACTCGCACAGATCACATGGGCAATAACTATAACTACGAGGACTTTTCACAATATCTGTTTTTCCTTTCGGTGCGCCTGACTTTTCTGCCTGACACCGCAAGCAAGATGATAAAAGAAAAAAAAAAATTTAGCCCGGAGAGAGAGAAAGAGAGATAGATGAAAAGGACGTGACTGGAACGGAAACCATAAAGGCCATCACCAGTAACCACAGCTACCAAAGACGGTCATTGAATAAAGAAAAGAAAAAATCATGAATGGTGATTGATTTCTGATCTTTGTGCAGTGTTTAGGATCTTGTATTTAAAATGTGTTTCTTTTTTTCTTTCTTTTGGTTTGGAAGAGGAAGGGGGCAAAAATGAAAGGGATAGGAAGGAAGACATATAGAGAGATTGGTTTCGAAAGGGGCTGCTTAACATAGGCATGTTATGATGAAAGGAGGTTGAAAAAAGAGAGGACACGCACTTGGGTTTATGGCTGTAGCCATGATTTCCCTTTGGCAGCTCTCTCCACAAGTTCTTGTACAAAGAAAGAAAAACACTCTTTTTTGTACTTAAAGGTCAAACAAACCTGAAACTATGTACCAAAAAAATGAAAGAACTTTGGTTTATATCGATCACAAAAAAGAAAAAAAAAATGCTGTCTTCCTTCGGTGCCTTGGTATTTTAGAACAGAAGCACCCACCTCCACCTCCACCTCCTGAACAGAAAAGATCTAGAAAAACAATGATTCTAGTTTGCATCAGATGGAAACGGCTCAAAAGGGTTCTTGATGCAGCTGTAGTAGAGAAGTATAGCTGATAATGAAGACCAAGTTACTGGTAATGAGAATTTCTAGTGGAAACTAAAGCAAGAGGTAGGCTTGCATTTAGAGTAGTAGAAGTAGTACATCAGACATAAAATACCATGAACCCCTTGAAAGGTAGAAGAGGAAAGATGCTCCAACTTGACTTGTAGCTTGACCTGGAAGAACCCTAAGACTGCCTACCCTAAAGAAGCCCTAGTCATCGTCTATATCTTGAAAAGCTTATCACCGGAAGTCTTTGGGATTGCTTCTCTTTAAACCATCGAAAACTCAATTGGCCAAGCTTTATTTGCTTGTTTATGAGAGATCAATCATTGAAGGGCTTCCAAATCATCAAATTCTCACTTTCTCAACTTCCTTTGGCCTTCCGAAACTGAATTCACACTGTGCTCCATATACATAGTACTTGAGCTTGTTTTAGATGGGAATTTTGAGTCCTGTTGGAGACTTTGAGACAAAACCAGGCTACAATTTCTCATAAAATATGACATAAGAAACAGAATCTTTGGCTATTTTCCAAATAAAATCAGGAAAATCTCATGATCCATAAACCATGATAGGTAAAGTGAATTTTTTTGCCAGAAAAGGACATTCTATAAATTGGGTTAGAAGAATTCATTTTCCATATTTGTAGCTCTTTTCAGGCGAATTCCAACCTTGTTCTTCAAGAAAAGAACCAAAGTCATTTCAGCTACAAAAGGGTAACGCTGAAACAAGCCAGTCATGGCCAATTCAGTTCCCTTTTGCATAAGACATGGGAAAAAACAAAAGGAAAAAAGAAAAGGAAGAAGATACATATAAAGAGAAGAAATAATAATAGAATTCAGTGCTGTACCGCTAAAATGGTGTTGCAGAAGTTGCAGTGAACATAACAAACACGTTCAGATGCCAAGTCCAGTGACATTTTTTCTATGCTTCTCTCTTTTTTAAAACAGTCTTGTAAGTTTATATTCCCCTAGAACAAGGAAGAGAAAGAAATACAAATAGTGTGGATCAAGGTTGAAGAATTGATGAAGAGGAACAGGAATAAGAACAAAGGGAGCTAGGACGACAAAAAAGAAAATTATTGTTTTTCTTTTCTATTTTGTAAGTAAAAATTTTTAAGACAGAGAGATTTGAGAAGTGTACAAAAAATCTGATAGGACTAGTCTGGTCGGGGGAGAGAGAAAGAGAGTAGTGAAGTGGGGGTGGAGAGAGTGGAAGGAAAGTGGGTAATTTTATTACTAGATTTTTTTTATTTTTCTCTTCCTTTTGTATTGTGGTAGCATATGGATTTGTGTGAGAGAGGAGAGGAAAGGAAGAGAGAGAAAGGGGTTGGGTGGTGTTATGATTGAGAGAATGAGTGGGTGGGAGTCACCCATCCCTTAACCATCCTGGCTTTCTGTAGCGGACGAGGGGGGCGAGATATTAATGCTTTGGAATGTTTTAGGGATGTGAGAGAAAAGAGGGAGTAAGAAACCAAAGAAAGAGAAACAGGTTTATATTGGGATATGAAACTAGAGTTTTTCTTGGGATTATGAAGTCCGTGTTGTTTTTATTTTTCTCTCACAAGTCATGACAAAGTGATTGTCTGTGTGAGGGAGGAAGTTGAAAAAAAAAAAAAAAACTAAACAGTGACCATATTTAAACTTGCTCTCTCCATACCTTTATCTTTCAACTATTTCTTCCTCGTAACCTTTTCTTAATTTCCTGTTTTAAACTTTTTGCTTGTTGATTACAACATGTTAACACTCTAAAGTCTAATGACTTGACTTTAGGTGAGCACTTCCTTAATGTTAAATCATTTGATCCGTACTTCATTAGATGTGTAGTTAGTGAGTTATAATCAAATTTATTGACAGACTTGAAGTTATTTTTAATGGTAAAACACTAAAACTTGGTTTTTTTTTTTAGGCCTAATTCAATTTGTAAAATTCGTAAAGGCATTTTGGGCCGTTATACCCATAGATACATTATAGCATCGAGCACATTAGCACAAAAGCACCAAGCATAAGCGCCGCTAGTAATCAACCTGTACAAATTTAACGAAAACAATTACTCAATTTTCAACATCCTCTCCCCAAAAATTTCCCTTTTCCCTGGATGATTCAACCTTTACACCACAAAACGAAAAAGCCAGCAATGCAATCATTTCAACCATAGCTCACTCTTACCTCAAGGACTTCTAATCCAAACACTTGCAATAAAACATAAACCTTGTACACCACAACAGAAAAACACAGTCAAGAATCAAGGTTAATCATAGACATTTAATAAGAGACTAGTATTGGGCAAACATGATACAAGACCAGAGATATGGAGATGGGTTTGGGAAGGTTTAGCTCCTCCAAAAGTGGAGATCTTTGTTTGCCAATTAAGGTGGAGTAGAGTGGCAGTAAAAGAGGCACTTGTAAAAGGGGGGCTTTTCAGTTGGGACTCGACCTTGTGCATATTATGTAAAAATGAAATTGAAACCACTGACCATTTATTTTTTTCATGTACAGAGGCGTGGAAAGTTTGGGCACTATGTGCAACAATTGGGAATCAAATGGATTGCCCCAAGAGAGACCTCATTGTTCATCCTAGCATGGTGTAGGGTTGAAACCAAGGGAGAGCATGGCAAGGCATGGTGTATGGTAATGCACGCAATTATTTGGTCTATTTGGTTACATTGAAATGAAAATGGTGTTCAGAGGGAAAATTTGGGATATAGAACAAACGTTTAATGCCATTAAGCTTAGAGTTGCATGGTGGCATAAAGCAAAACAACCTAATGAGTTGTCGTTAATCATAGATATACTAAGCCAATTCCACTTGACGAAGGAAGCCAAGAATGCATAAGATGTGGATGCCTCCACCGATAAGCATTTTGAAATTTAATGTGGATGGCTTTGCCATAGGGAAATTGGGAGTTGCTGCAATAGGAAGGTTACTTCGTGATGACAAAGGTATGGTGAAATTTATGTTTTCTAAGGCAATTGGGTTGATAGATTCTAATTGTGTTTAGTTGTTAGCAATAAGAGAGATGCTTGTTGTCTTTGTCACCTCACAATGGGCTCAAAGCTATTGCTTTCTTATTGAGAGTGACTCATCAAATGTAGTCAGTTGGGTGCTTAATCCTATTTTCACACCTTGAAAATTTAGTAATTTTATATTGCATATAGAATCATTAAGCTTATACATTAGCAAGCGGAAAATCTAACATATTCTACATGAACTAATAGCTTAGTCGATCAATTAGACAAAGTAGGATCACAAACACAATTGTTCCAATAATTTATAAGAGAAATGAGCAAGTAGGCCAACATTTGATAATGTCAATGTCAAGGACAAATGAAGAATAATTCACATGTGATTAGATATGTAAATTACTAGTAATTACCCTAACATATGGAGACAAACATTGTTGAGAGCAATTGAAGAAGGTGGGACTACTACATATATGAAATTGATCATTGGAGGAATTATTGGCTTTGCTATTACAACGATAAAGCAACGTGGGAAGAACAGAGACTTTAACTTACACTAAAATTGTTTGATAAAAGTTCCATAAGAGGGTTATGAGAGAAGGTTACAAGCTATAGGAGTTTAATTAGGGACAAATAGCAAGGATGGTGACAAGAAAGGGTAAGGATAAGGAGAACCATAAGTTACACAATCCATGCAAAATCATGTAAATCTTTATAAATAATCTATCGCCCCAAGTTGGTAGGTGATGGCTTAAAGACAATTGTGACCAATTTGGTGCAGTGGTTGATGTTTTTATTCCCCATTAATGGTCATCTAAGGGAAGGCATTTTGGTTTTATTTTGTATTGATCCTTATCAGAAGCTCAACTAACAACATGGAATTTAAATGGATTTTGGCTACTTCATTACAAATTTGGCACCAACATAACTAGACAAATCCATATAGCTCTTTCTAAAGAAGAAAATTTAGTAACCAAGAAGCCTCTAGAGCCATGTTTGCAAGGTGTATGTCAAGCTGTCACATAAGACAAACCTTGATGTCCTTAAAGGTAATGGCATAAACACTTTGAAAGAAGCAATTCCTATCAAAGCCATACCTTTTTGTTGCGACTCTACTAATGAGGAAGCTTTCCATTGGCTTCAAAACTACTTAGTTAGGCATAGTAAGAATTACCTTGAACTTAAGGCAATTGTACACCGAATGAAGCAAAAGGGAAAGCATGGCATTACTATTAGAAGATTAATGGGCTACACATTCTTAATTTCTTCTTTAAACAAGGAAGTTTAGGAGGAATGACATTTGAGAAATTAGGAATGGTTGAAGGAGTGGTTTTCCAAGATAGAAAAAATGATCTCCCAAACATAGCTTAAAATAAAGGAGATTCTAGCTTTCTGTAATGGGCATACTTATTCAAGCTTGGAATCAAGTCACCTTCCAAAACATAACAAGTGTTTTTGGTGACTCAGTTTGCATAAGGGAGGAAACTCAAAAGCTCTAATCATTTGACTATGCTTCATTGCTCATTAAAACTGAACAGTTGCACACAACATATGAGGAGGCATGATTGACAATTAATGACAAGTCTTTCAATATTAACATTTATAATATCTTCCCCAAATTTGTGCTCAAATTCTCAATGTGGTCTAAGTGAAATGACTTATCTAGCATTACTAGTTCTTTCTCCGTAGACTTAGTGGCTGGTGATGAAGAGGGTCATTCATGGCAACCTAAAGTACCCATCTTCCCTACTCATATTATGTCTTTATTTGACCATTTGATATATGCCCTTGATATCTCAAAAAGTAAAGATCCAATTTATGTTATATTGGATTTTGAGAGGGTTGTCCTGCTCAAAAGTAAGATTCATGCTGAATCCATTCATGGCTTCCATCTGACTCGATGTGAGCAACAATTCGACTTGTAAGCATCATGGCATGTCGATGGTATACATGCCCTTAATGATACATTAGCTCTGAATATTACATGAGCTTTTAAGGCTGTTGGGATGAGCCCTACTTTCAATTGGGATTGGTTATAAGTTAATTCCAATCATACAACAGTATCATTTATATTGAATGATTAAAGGTTTTCCTTCATCAATA